CCGCTGTCAGATTCCCGTCGACCACGACACGCGAACATCACACATGTGCACGGGCAAGCACAGCCCCAACACACCACTGACCAGTCCAGCGCTGGCTGGCTCCAATCCATCACGCACGCACGTAAGTATGGGCGAGGAGATGGACAGATGCCGTGCCGCCCGGCAAGGCGAGGCGGTACATCCAGGACGACGCCGCACACACGGACACGCGCGTCCAAAAGAGTCGCAGGGGAGGCGTGCCCGTCGCCGTACCGGCCCCCTGGCCCCGGGGCGCGGACTCGAACGCGCGCGACAGCGCGCACGGAACCCCACTCCGCCCCATTCCCGACTTCCGGTCACCGCGCGCGACGTGCCGGCACCGGCAGTGGCCGCGCACGCGGGCGCGGGTTCTCTCGCTCCAGGCCCCTCTGGGTACGGTTACGTACGGCATGGCCAGGAGTGCGGGCGCGCGCGCGTCGGCCCGCGTGCCGCGCCGGCGCGGGCAGATGGCCTCGCACGCGGGCGTTCCGCGTGTGTGTGCGTGCGTGCTTTGTGCCTTTGTGCGCCCGGCACCGATGCCGGATGTCCCACGGTCGGTGTCCCGCGGCGGCGCGCGGCTCCTCCCGTGCGGGGAATAGCTCGCTAGTAGCTCCTCCCATGCCGATGGAGCGCGCATGGGTGCCTGTCGTGGGCTCGTGCAGGAGATCGAGCACTCTCGGGCTTTGTTCATAATGACGTGGGCTAAGCCCGTTCCGGCGTTCCGTTCTGGTTTTCTGAAACAACAACGACAACGAAGAACGAAGTCCTTTTAACCCCCAAAAATGTTAGGACACGACGATCTGTTTTGTACTTTTTCAGTTTATTAACCAAATATATAATTATCATTTCGGGACAGAGTGAGTATTGTGCTTTATACAACAAATCATTTTCATCTATCCCCTCTTTTGGTGGTTTGCATATAAAATGAAGTGTTCTCTGTTAAGCAAATATACAACTTTCTCATTAATAATAATGAGGTAAATGCAAGTGAACACTAGTCTAGTTGGTCTAGATGTGCGCTTTATACCCTGTCGGTCAGAGTTTGAACCCTCTTGGGGGCGTTTTTTTTTTGCCGCAGGAGGCGCAGTTTATCTGCGCGTTAAAAAATCTCCCCTCGTCTGCCTCACGCCAAAGCATAGGTCTAAGGTAAGCACAGTCTCACGGGAGCTGCGATGCCGCTGTATATGGGTGGGGCAGAGGTTAGGGGGTTTCTCGACCTACGTGAGAAGGTCTTCTTCTTAAGCACAATGCCCGGAGCTGTCTTACCCCCACAAGTCGAGTTTTTTATAATGAGGTAAATGTGTCAAAAAAATTGTCATATGAAAGTACCACTAAAAATTAAGATTTTTTTTACTAAAAAAAGAAGGACATTCTAACTAAGGATACTGAGCAAAGTGGAGGTGGAATGGCAGTAAGGCACCATTTAGCTCAGCTTCTCCATCGGCTTTAGGAGCCGTTTGGACCCATTTTGTGCCAAACGGATAAAACAAATCAGCTTCGCTAAGGAAGTCCCTTAAATCGTGCTCTCATAGAGGTTTAAGGTGGGATAAAGCCAAAAAATAGTGGCTTCACCTCGTCGTGGTGGATCCCGCATGGGTCATGTACTCCTGTGAGGGCATGTTTTAAGTAGCACTATGTGAAGCTGTTTTATCAAGCGATTTTACCAAAACGGATCCAGAGCTGAACCAAAAAAAAATGTCTTCACTAATGAAGTGAAGATGTGCCAAATAGGGCCTAAATTTTATTGCTTCTGGAGCAAACATGAAACTAACAAACATCTCTTTTTTATTGTCATTATGCTAAATTTTGTTTTGGGGTCCCCCCAATGTCGAACACTTATTTAGTACTTGGTTAATAGGGAGGACGAAAACAAAATATTATATTATTGACAAACTTTTCTATCAATAATAGAATATCTTGTTTAATAATTGGCAATAAAAAACCAGAACAGTGGATGTATGTACCTAAAAACCAGAATGAATTATGATTTGAAAATTTTGAAACAGAGGTAGTAATCATCAATTTGAACTTCTTGCCTGGGTTTCGTTCCACTGCGTGTGGGATTTTTGGGAGGAGGCGGCGGCTTGGCAGCAGCATACACGGTGTGTGCGGAGGTTAACCATCGGAGGAGGATAAGATCGTGATGGGAACGTGTGGAGCGCGTTTCCATATTGAAAGCTTGGGGACCATGGACGATTTGTCTATTTTGACCTACTTGTTGCTAAGCTTTCGCTCACATGTTATATATCATCATTATATATAGCCGAATTTCTATGCCAACGGAGCTTAAAGAAAAAAAATCTAATAGAAATAGAAATAAAAAGTCGGTAATCTATGAGTATAGCCTTTTCTCTTTTTTGCCGAATTACATAATATAGTAGATGCAAAAATGTTTATAAATAGACTCATGCACTAATTTCTACAAAGACAGAGTTATCTGTCTGACACTAGAAAATATTGGTCTTTCTTCTAAAGCACGCTCGAAAACAAAGTTCTATATTTGGCACCGAGTTAAAATTTTCTTCCTTATTTGGCGCTACCGTACATTTTCTTCCCTAATGGTGTTAAGTGGCCACCAAAATGTCCTATATGCCCCTCTCTATATTAGAACTATATGTGGTTTCAAATAATGAATTTATGGTATCAAATAAGGAAAGCATGAATATCGTGGTTCTGAAATATGGTTTTGATTATATATGTATTTTCTAAAAAATAGTAAAATAATAGGTAAATCGCTATAATTCATAAATGTTTCTTTTAAATTCAAAAAATATGAAATTGGTATATTTTTTAAAAAATATAATCTATCTCTTCAAGATCATCCACTTTAGTTTTGGTAATTTCTTTATTCATATTTATTTGTACAATTTTAAAATTTTAAATTTCAAAATATAAGAACTCCAAACAGAATGTTAGGTCCATAAATGATTTCAAATAAAATAGTTATCAACTATATCAAGTTATATAACTCGATCAGGTATGGCCAAAACATCTATTCCGGCAACGGACTCGATAGCATCACGCTAGTGCCCTACGTGGTTTTTGGCCCTAAAAGTTTATGGCTACAATACTAATTTGAACCAAAGTAGATCTATCAGATTCATGGGTGACTTATCATTTTACCAGTTTTGCTAGGTGTGCTATCTCGCACCTGCAGTTCCACTCGTATTGGATAGGGGTAGTTCTTTTTCATTATAAATCTTTCTTTTCTCTTATTTGAATTTTTTTAATGGTTTTGTTACTTTGTATGATTGTATCGCTGGCTTATTTTAATACTGTTGTAATAAGAGTACTAATAATTAAAGAACAGAGTCTTAGAGCAACTCAACAAGAGTCTTTCCAAGACTCACTATCTAAATCATCAATTAGAGAGCCATTAGCAGAAAAGTCGTCTTCTATATTTTTTCACTCTCCAATAATTTTTCTATATCTTGTGTGCACTCTAGAGAGTCACTCTCGTTATTTATCTTTGGCTAATAAGAAATCCAAAACAGAGGCAGGCTATATTTGGATAATCAATTTAAAAAGATGTTGAAGGGCACTTTCACCAAAATCATTATTCCTAATAATTAGGAATGATATAGATAGTCTCTCGGAGTTGCTTTAAGAGGTTATATATCGTTCCTAATTTCTTTTCTAGGGATAAAGATTTTGGTGAAAAAATACCGCTCAACAATTTCTTTAATTGATTATCTAAATATAGTCATCTGCTATTTTGAATTTCTCACTAGCCAAAGATAAAAAATAAGAATAGATCTCTGTAGTGCAAGCAAGATATAGAAAAGATACTGAAAAATGAAAAGATATAGAAAACAATTTTTATACAAACAACTCTCTAAACGATGATTTAGATACTGAGCTGTAGAAAGACTGTCGGAGATGCACTTATCTCGTAACGCTCGCTAATTTATATATATTATTACGGAACATACCAGCAGTCAAAGCAGCACCTCCACGAAATTAATCTCTGTAACGTAAACGATCGTAATTTATATATATTGTGTTTTCTCTCACACAAATACCAGATAAATCAAAGCACACACTCTCCACGAAATTAAGATAGGAGCTATCAAGTACTAGTATGTCAGCGCACGAGTATGCCCCATTGATTATGCTTTTCCTAACAAAATTATATAGTATCAGCGAAGAGATAACCAAAGCACGCATTTTGCCTCGGAGCAAATTACACCCTGCAAAACTGATAAGACTTTGTTTGATGTGCATGTATTTGTCTTAATCTATATGGATTGAAGTGAATTAGAGTAGAATTAAACTAAATTCAATTTTATTCCACTCCAACATAAGTGGATTGAAGCGTCAGACAAAGCCTAAGGTGAGTCAGCCGTCAATCGACCTGTTTGCTGGTGGATTTCTGGACTAATAAACCCGACTAATATTAATTTGTTATGAAAAAATAATAATATTAATTAACTAATAAGCCCAGCTAAAATCAACGAGCGAACAGCCAAACAAGCTGCCCGTCCGTTTCACTGTAAAGCCAGCCATCCATCCGGCCGTCAGGCAGCGTCGCTCGCGGGCCCTTGTGGCGGATGATGCTGTAGCGTTTTTTTCCTCACCTTTCTTTTCCTCCATGACCATGTACCTGCGTTTCTTTCTCCACTCGTACAACACACACTCCTGTCCTGCTGCTACCACCACCATCCGACCCGGACCCCGGGCTCGTACAACACACACTCCTGTCCTTAGTTTTAGCAAGAGCTTATCAGCCAAACCAACATCAGTCGAATTTATCGGCTCAGAAACAACAAGCGAGCAGGCCGTTTATATAAGCCATGGGTGGCGCACTCGGTGCCGGGCATCAGCTGCTCTCACCAAGAAGGCCATCCATCTCTTTGTAGTGCGAGCTGCTCGCTTGCACTAGCTAGCTAGGAAGCACAACCGCCGCGAGATATATATAGACAGCACCGAGTGAGAAAGAAAGAGGAAGCAGCAGACGAAGAGAGAGAGAGAGAGAGGCAGCCATGACGATGAGGCAGTCGAGGTTCAAGAGGATCTGCGTCTTCTGCGGCAGCAGCCAGGGGAAGAAGCGGAGCTACCATGACGCCGCCATTGAGCTCGGCAACGAGCTGGTAACGAACTCGCCTCGCCTCGCCCTGTCTGTCACTCACACCCACGCCCCTCTTTATTGGTGAATTGTACTGCTCTCCCGTCTCCAAGACGTACGCTTCGTTCTCTGGTTCTGTCGCCTGCTAATCGCCTCCTTGCAGTTGCAGGATTGCAGCTAGTATGCATGACTTTACCATCCATGCATCTTCCATATTTCAAAAAACAAAAAGAACTCTCCACCATCCTAGCTAGGTTAGCTAGGACACGGTCTCTCGTACCGTAGTGCGCGCACACACTTGCACAGTAGTAAAGTCGTATGCAAAATTCGTCTGTAGTAATAGTAGTGGTAATACGCAGCAGCCAGAGCGAACCGGCTTCTGTCTTTCTTCCACTTCCGTCAGGCCGTCGCCGTACGCCATGCGCAGGCAGCGTCTCCAGCTTTTGTTGAGAGCTGAACCGGACCCCAACCAAGCCAGAAGGCAGGCACACGGGAGTACTCTGCTTTCTGGGCGCCGGTCACGCTCCGCAGCCACTGATCCTCCTCATCCTCAGTGGTCCCTGCACCCACCCTGCCTCATCCGGCTGCGTGGAACGAAAGTGAAAAAATCACGAGTTGGCATCACCCTTGTTTAGATTGCAAATTTTTGTAATCTGAATATTGTAGCACGTTTCGTTTCGTTTGTATTTGACAAACTTTGTCCGATCATGGACTAACTAGGCTCAAAAGATTCGTCTCGTGATTTACAACCAAATTATGTAATTAGTTATTTTTTTACCTATATTTAATGCTCTATGCATACGTCTAAAAATTAATATGATAGAAAGAGAGTAAAAAAATTTAGAATTTTGAGATAATCTAAACAAGGCCCAGGTCACCAACCACCACCGGCCTGGCCGGGCCTACCGCATTGACGCGTCCATAATGACTAATGAGTGAGACCGGCGGCTAGGCTACCACCAGGTCACGAGACAGGCAGAGCGAGAGCGGGCACGGGGCACCGGAGCACTGCCGGGCCACATGCGCGGACTGCACCGCACCAGGGATCAAACAGTTCGCGCGCCCCTCGTCAAAAAAAAAAAAAACAGTTCGCGCGCCCACGCACACGCGCCACCGGCAGGCGCACGGCACGAGTCGTGCCATGCGTACGCCGGCCCACCAGTGTAACTAGTTAATTAAACTATAACTAGGGAGTACTACCGGTAGTAATCGATGGCTTTTGTGTGCGCTCTGCAGGTGGCCCGGAGCGTCGACCTGGTGTACGGCGGCGGCAGCATCGGGCTGATGGGCCTCGTCTCCCAGGCCGTCTACGACGGCGGCCGGCACGTCATCGGGTAAGCAAGCAGTCACCGTCGCCTCATCCCCAGAAGAAATGTTTGTGTGGGGTGTGTGTACTGATCGCTTCTTTTTGTCATGTTGCTGTCCACGCGCAGGGTCATTCCCAAGACGCTCATGACACCAGAGGTATGTCTGCCTGCCTGCTGCCCTGCATAGCACGCCTAGTAGCACTCCCACTACACACCACTACCTGTTCGGTTGCATGTCAGCGTCACAGCTGCTTAAGTAAGGAGAAAAAAAAAACTCGTCAAATCTGATGCCTCTCTGCCGGGCCGGGCCGGGCCCGGCCCTCCCAATAATAGTCATGAGCACGCACGCGCTCACGTTGGCCCGGCCCTCCCAATAATAGTCATGAGCACGCACGCGCTCACGTTGGCGACTTGTTTTTAGCATTCCGACTTTCCGAGTGCGTGTAGTAGTAGGGGGTCGTAGAAGTGGTTATGAAATGGGGCTTGGGAGTTTGGGCTCTGCTGGAGTCCCGGGGGACATAGCACCTGGGGCTTGTAGATTCCAAGTTTTTTCACTCTCTCTATCACATCAAATCTTTGACATATGCATGGATTATTAAATGTAGATAAAAAAATAACTAATTACACAGTTTGATTATAAATTACGATACGAATCTTTTGAGCCTAGTTAGACCATGATTGAACAATAATTGTCAAATACAAACGAAAGTGCTACAGTATCCAATACTGATTCCTAACAGCTATCTAAACAAGGCCTTGACGCATAAAAACAAAACAAATCTGACCGATGACCAGCAGGCCGCGATCGAGAGAGCCTGCATGCTTTTGGCACGAATCCCAGATCTTGGCGTGAGGATAAACTAGTGACCTAGGAAAAGCGCCGCTTTACGGACGGATGTTTGTTTGTTAATTAGGGCTGAAGAATTCCTTTCCTTTCCCCCCCAAAAGTCCTGCGGTGACTGGTCGTCCCGCGGGGGAAATGGTTGTACTACTAGTGCTGCTTTATTTAGGCTGCTAGGCCAGAGAGATTTGTATTCTCAGTAGGGTTTGAACAAGCTTTAGTTAGCGGCCTGGCCTCCCAGTTTCAGAAACGGACACTGAAATATTTTGAGATTTTTTTTTTTACTTCTGCTCAACTGTCATGTGTCTCTACAGAATTCTACTAGTACTCGTATGTCATATATAATTAAACCATTGGTCCAGGCTGCAGTGGGCATTATTCATTCATAATTCATTCTCATGTCGTGGTCCTCTTCCTGGTTACTCATACATACAGTACTGTCCGACCTTTTACCATTTCCAGAGGGGGTGAAGATCTAGGGCCAGTTTCTGTTCTGATCCCTCCAAGCAAAATCATACTACCATATGCTTCTCATTACCCAAACGTAAACGCAGCGCTGCAGCATTCGCGGTGGTCGTACCGTATCGTATCTGAAATTCTGAACTGACCAGGAGGGTAAATTGCAAGCATTGCGTGTGTTTCTTGGCATGCAGATAAGTGGCGAGACAGTCGGGGAGGTGCGCCAGGTGGCCGACATGCACCAGAGGAAGGCAGAGATGGCGCGGCAGTCCGACGCATTCATCGCTCTGCCTGGTAAGAGCCACGGTCCATCATCCATGCAGCAGCACTGCGTTTTTAGTGTTTTATGGAGTATTACAAGTACAAGTACTCTTTTTTTTCCTTGACATCGGCACGGTATTCATTAAACAGAAGAAGAGTTTTACAAATGAAAGCTGAGACGGTAATTTGTGGTTACCAAACTCAAAAAAAAAAAATACAAGTACAAGTACCACCGGTAGTAGATGGATGGATCTCTCTAATGTGTACCAGTAGTGCAGTGACTCGTGCCACTTCGTCATCTGGCGTGCAGCGCCTCACATGCATCATGCATGTACAGTAGGATCGGAGTACGTAGCGTGGCCAATAATTGGCGCAGATCGAGCTGAGACACGTTGTTCACCCGGAGCTAGCATGAGTACAGTACAGAGTACTCCTACGTTACGTAGTATGTAGTCGAGTGGTAGACTGGCGTGTAAAGCGCTGAGTGAGACGCATGGACTGTTTCATTCGAACTTGAAGACAGAGCTGAGCTGAGCCCATCGAGATGGTTTCGTTGCATGCATGCAGGAGGGTATGGGACGCTGGAGGAGCTGCTCGAGGTCATCACGTGGGCGCAGCTGGGCATCCACCACAAGCCGGTAATTGCCTAGCTAGGCGCGTGCATGCACCGAGAGGTTTTGGTTTTCTCTGACGAACTTCTCTCCATTCATGCAGGTTGGGCTGCTGAACGTGGACGGCTACTACAACTCGCTGCTGACCTTCATCGACAAGGCCGTGGAGGAGGGCTTCATCAACCCCAGCGCCCGCCGCATCATCGTCCTCGCGCCCACCGCGCAGGAGCTCATGGACAAGCTCGAGGTTCGTGCGCGTGCGATGATGCATGCGCCCATGTCCAAATCCAGCTCTTCGTCCGTTGCTAATGCCATGCATCTTGTGCAAATGCGATCGATGTGCAGGAGTACGAGCCCTACCACGACAGGGTGGCGTCCACGCTCAACTGGGAGCTGGGCCACCAGCTGGGCTACTGACACTACTACTGCCACGCCCACGCAAGAGCCGCCAGAGCCAGCGCGGCAGCGCCTGAAGCAGCCAACAACGGCCCGGGCAGGCGATTGGGACGTTTGATCGATCGGGGAATTAAGGATTGGGAAATGCTAGCCGTCAGATTGGGATTTTTCTAACTTGACGCAGCAGATCGGTTTGGAGTGCTGGAGGAGAAAAAAAAGAGGTTGGTTGGGGTAGCAGGAGTACGTACGTACGTGCTGGTTTTGTATATGATGCCTAGCTTGTGTTTGCTTCCACTGGGGATGATGGCTTGCAGTGTTGTTTGTAGTAGCAGTAAAAAGACTTGACCGGTTTCCCCGTCCTTGCTGTACCTGCCTATGTATGTTAGCTTCAAGATGCTGAATTCGATTGAATACAGCAAATCAACTCAGCAAGTGTGTAATACAATTCAGTGCAGATCTTTTGGATCGAAATCCCCCCTCTTTTTTTCTTTTTCTTTTGCAGACTTTTACTGAGTTTCTGATGCTCTAATCTCTTGCACTGTAATTGTGTTGTGCTCCTCCCATAAACCAAAAAAGACAATCTCCCACGAATATAAACAGCTAGACATACGTGTGCCAACCACGGTTCTAAATAGCGCCACGCAGTCAATTTTTGAATTTGTTACGAAGCCGCTAATCCTGAAAGAACTATAGTTGTCGTTGCCACTTTCCATGAGTAGGAGGAGTTGTTTACTTTTTTTTTTCTCTCGCCTCTGCTGGCTGCTGCCAAGTCGCGAAACTAGCCGTTCAAAACACTGCTGACCGGAAGATGCTGCACCGGCCACCGCCGCAAAGGAGAGAGAGATCGCGAGAGAGGAAAAAGGACATTTGCACCGCGCCGTTAGCCAGTGGTCGACATCTCAGCGAGAGGGTGGCGGTGGCGCTCAGGCGCTGTGCCCTCGGCGCCGGGCTACAGCCGGCTGCAGGTACTGTTCAACCTGATCTGAACAGCTGCGGCTGCGGCTGCGGCTGCACAGCTTCACCTGTAGCTGAAGCTGTGCAGCGGGAGCTGCTGCAGGCCTGCAGCCGGCTTCAACCAGAGGCGAATTGCGTCAGGTGCCGAGGTGCACATGTCCACGAGACCGCAGCAAACTGGATCGGCAGCCCATACAAGAAGAATTACCGAGCCGAGCCGGGAAGGGAGCACTTGGACCTGGGCCGGGCCGGGTCGACCGAGCGGAGCGAGATGCTTCGTCCCCTTCTGGAACCTTCTCCCCTCCTCCCCTTCCCCTCCCCTCCACTCTCGGCGTCTCTCTCTCCGGCAGCTGCGCGACGGCTTGGATCGCACCCTCGTCGGAGCTACCATGGTCAGCCCTCCTCCTCTCTCCCTTTTCCGTCTCCCCCGTCAGGCTAGGACCTGTGTGTCCTTGTGCTTTGTGGTTTTTAGTCCTAAAAGGTTATGGCCGCAGTAATAATTTGAACCAAAATAGATCTACCATATTCGCTGGCAACTTCTCATTTTCAGGGGTTTCCTAGGTGTACTTTCTCCCGTCTGGCCCGTTTCGTGTTGGATAGGTTCTTGAGTTGTACCCCCTCTGAAAGAAGATTTGGACATATTTAAATGTTTGATTTACACATTTACATTTGGATGCTCATTTATGTGCTTCTTTTTTCTTTCTCAGGCTGGCAAGCTTATTGCAAATCTGATTGTCATGGGCTCTACGATTATAGGAAGGGCTATGCTTCAGGCATATCGTAAAGCACTTGATAGTAAGTTCTGCTGCCATGAGCTTCTTCATGACCCACGTATAGTCTCTGCCAGCTCCCTGTTCCTTTTATAGATAAAAATGATAGGTGGTAGAAGGTGTCCATCAATTTTGCAATCAAAGGTTACTTAACTGGTACATTGATTGATGGGGAAATTGGTAATTCTGTTTTTACTGCATGTGGCATGATGGGTCATGTTTCATAAAAATGAGTGATAGACAAAGTTATTGTCATAACTTACTGAACTTTTTGTATTCTCATCTAATCATCTTTGCACAATCCAGAAAGGATAGGTCTCTCTGTTTCTCTTAGCTTGGAGCCAATTTTTAATCATTGTTTTGTTTATCAATAGATCTCTGGCCCTGATAAGTTTTCGGTAGCTTAGTCTGTTAGTTGCCTAATTTTTTCTACTGATATGCCAAGTATGCTTATGCTTCAGCATGTAGCCTCCAGCAACATAAGCCTGTCAGACATACTTGAACTGCCAACACTTATGCTCTGAGTTGGGTTATGCCTGGTACGCCAGATATATGGATACAGTGAGGCTTTCCTTGATATCGAACTTATGTATTGCTTTCACACTTTGTTGGAGGTAACAGAGAAATAATCAGCCAGGGCTTACAAACCCAGGCGACTGCTCTTTCATATATAGGAGATAAGTAGCACATTGATTACATTGATGGCTCATTAGAGCATTAACGATGGGACGACGCCTCTGGTACTTCATGGGCCAAGGCCTTAATAGCGTAAACATAATTCGGATAACTAATGATTCTGGGACTTAACTTCTACAGTTCTCCCCTAAAGACCCGCTTCCCCCATCCTTGATCTTCATGATCCCAATCTTGCTTCTCATGTCTTCAAACTTGGCCTTGCCTAAGGCCTTAGCGAGAATACGATTGATCATTTTCCAAATGGTCTTGATGCGCTTCAACACAATCTGATGAAGTGTTGTTTGGATATCTTGACATGAAAGATGGGGGTTTTTGAATTCGAGGTGGTTGTCAACTCGATCCTCCACCTTTCTTCCCAACAAGACCAACAACAGAAGTCATAGCCACATATTGTTCACAACTAGACAAAGCCACCACCTCTTGATAGAGGAAACAAAAAAGACAAAATTTGGAGTCAATATCACCGGCAGACCACAAAATAAATTTGGGCTTTTGAACCTGCTGAGACCATAGTCCAAACCAAGTACCTGCACCCTCACTTTGGTGTCGGTGGTCGGTTTCTCCAAGAATCTGCTCCACATAGCCCATCGAGAAAGGCTGGTATGAACAGTATCTCAAGCTTCAACCGCGTCTCCTACTGAGTTGGATTCACCTCCTTAAATTGCGAGCTTCAGCGCTCTTCCACTAACTGCCATGCTTCTATCATTTTCAGGCATAGTGAGTCCGCCTCATGGTGATCCCATTCTTGCCTTTGCACTTCAATTAGAAACCGAGCAAACCCAAGTCACTCATCTCAAAAGGTTCATAGCCTTTACTTCAGTAATGATCGGATCATCAACATGAACCCAAAATAGAACCTTTCTACTTCATGAACCCCATTTCGTGAGTGGCAAGCTTCTCAGGTTTTCAGGGCTTTTCCTAGGTGTACTTTTTCCCAGGAATAGCAAACCTGTGTGGGTCTGGACATATTCTTCTTGAGCTCTCCATTTGCCCGTTTCGTGTTGGATAGGTTCTTGAGTTGTACCCCTCTGAGCTCTCCATTTAGATACAGAAGATTTGGACATATTTAAATGTTTGATTTGATCACATTTCATTTGCTTGACCCATTTTAGAGAAATTCCGATTTCGGGGAGACACAATGTGCATTTCTCTTTTTCATTTTCTCAGGCAGATAAGAAATGGTTCCCAGAGTGGGTGAAGCTTATTGCAAATCTGATTATGCCATCATGGGCTCTATGATTATAGGAAGTCACGGCTATGTGATGGTCAGGCATATCGTATCAAAAGCTTCTTTGGAAGGCTTTGATGAGTAAGACTCGAACCTCTGCTGCCATTCACGGGCTGGTGATGTCCAATCCCAACCTCTTCCTTCATCAAAACCACATGACCGAGATGTTGGATCAAAACGTCGATAGCTTTTGCTCAATGCCAGCTCACCACGATCATCAAGTTTCTGAAATGAGACAAAGCAGAAAGTATATGCCACACAACCAAACACCTTATAGATGCTTCAAGTGATATCATAGAGCCTTGGTTGGTGGTAGAAGGTGTCCATCAAAACTTATCGGCATTCGACCGCTTGAGTGCAATGCCAAAGGTTGACTCACGCCCACCAACTGGAATGACAATGCCTTTTGACTCCTTCATTGGGGAAATTGCAAAGAACTCTCCTCCATTATTGCGCAGTAACTTTCGGATTTGCCCACTCTCCACCTTTTACTTGATAGCATGTGGCATGATGGGTCATGTTTCATAGAAAATGAGTGATAGACAAAGTTATTGTCATAACTTACTGAACTTTTTGTATTCTCATCTAATCATCTTTGCACAATCCAGAAAGGATAGGTCTCTCTGTTTCTCTTAGCTTGGAGCCAATTTTTAATCATTGTTTTGTTTATCAATAGATCTCTGGCCCTGATAAGCCATTTTCGTAGCTTAGTCTGTTAGTTGCCTAATGAGCCATTTTTTCTACTGATATGCTCACCAAGTATGCTTATGCTTCGAACCGAAGCATGTCAAAAGCCTCCAGGTGTGCGCTCAATCAAGGTACCACCACCACCATCTCTTCATAAGCCTGTCGAGCTCAAAGAACTCAACGCGGCAAACAGACTTGAACTTCCATCTCAATGAACACTTATGCTGTCCTCCTTAACGAGTTGGGTTCACCATGATGTTCCATCATCCAACGTTGGTACTGGGATTCACGCGCGCCTAATATGGATGAGACAGTTGAGGCTTTCCTTGATATCGAACTTATGTATTGCTTTAGAACCGCCACACTTACATTGGATCAAATTGAAGTATATCTATCCAAAGAAAAAATAAATTTCAGCGCTTGAGAGCTTCGATGTCGTTCCATGAAGCCTCGACTTAAAGAAATCACACCGCTTCGCCCAGAATGAGTCAGCAATATATATGCTATAAAATTTTAGTACGCCCCAACTGCTTAAAAATAATCTTTTGATTCCTCCAGGTTTTATTTGTGTACATAAAGAATTGGGAAACTGAATTTAGGAAATTCTGCATTTCTTTGTTGTCTGTTGAATGCTCTCTCTTCTCTGGACAAATGTCAGTTCATTGGCTTAGAAATATGCAGACAATTTATTCAGTAAATGAGGTGGTTTCATATATAGGAGATAAAAAAAACATGATGGAAGACACTAAAGGTACAGATCACTTGGTGCCCAAGGCCTTAATAGCAGAAACATAATGACCTGAGATAACATGATATATAATTAAACATGGATATGAAGTATATCTATCCAAAGCCATGAGAGGCCCATTGTCCTAGAAGAATTCATGTCCCTAGGGTGATTTTGAAATTTCATAGAATCTTGGCACCTGAGTCAATATATATGCTATAAAATTTTGTATTCAATCTTTTGATTCCCAGGTTTTTGTTGTCCTGAATTAGAAACTGATCAGGAAACTTCATTTCTTTGTTGTCTGTTAAATGATTTAGTCTCTGGACAAATCAGTTTTTGGCTTGAAATATGCAGACAATTTATTCAGTAAATGAGGTGGTTTCTAGAAAAAAGAATATATGGAAGACACAAGGCAGGGTCGAAAATGACCCCACATATATATAATTAAACATATATGTTTGGTTCAAACAGGCAAACTGTTTTATGTTGTTGCTAGCTTCAGGACACATCTATTTATTAAATGATTTAGTTCATCAATCTGCTAATCATTCAAACAGGCAAACTGTGGACCACACAATTTGCTAAACATTTCACCTAACACCAGAATTTGCAACATTTCACCTACACCTTGTACATCTTGTAGATGAAAACTTAACATAAGGTATCTGGTGGCACTATACTGATTTAGTGGCTAGATTGACTCATTGACATGAGACATTGTATGAAGTGCCTTTCATTGTCATCTAGTATCGCACTGATGCTTTGGTTGCTTTCCAGTCACTGCGAGTCAACAACAGATGGATAGTACCTTCTGAATGATATTTTTGCTATTTGTTTAATTTTCCAGGAAAGAGTGACATTTAATTGCTATATGCACCTCCTTATTTTGTTACCTCCTACCTCTGCCAGATGCAAATAAAACTGGTGTGGCCCATGAGGCAATAAACAATATTCGTAGAGCGAGCAAAACAATGACCGAACAAGAAGCGAGGCAGATACTGGGTGTCTCAGAGAATTCGACGTGGGAAGAGATTGTACAGGTCTGCTACTTCCCTTTTGTTTCATTTTGCATTCGACTTGTTATTATTCGGACGCACAGTTCTCACATCAATGTGAACAACTATGTGTTATGCAGCGATACGATAACTTGTTTGAAAGAAACGCCAAATCTGGGAGCTTTTACCTCCAATCGAAGGTTCACCGGGCCAAAGAGTGCCTAGAAACAGTGTACCAAAAGAACAAACAAGATGAGCCTCCTAATTGAAATCCCACCCCTTAACTGCTGTTGACATTCTTTTTCCCCTCATAAGAGAACTGTACATACCAACGATGGTCGCCGCTGTTGTATCAGTAGTATGCAGTGTGGAACCAATAAACTTTGTGTGCAGTGACTGCAAACCTACCTGTATAAGACTGATCTGTAAGGTCTTGCTGGGCTCTTGGTTTGGTGGTGCCTACAACTTTGTTATTTTGTCGTATGATGATGATTGTACGAAACCATATTCTTGTACTGTGTTATTCTTGATGCTATCTGCATTGATGTGAAACGAACAAAGTTCCCTTTTTTTTGTCTTTTGAAATTTTGATTGAGGGTGTCTCTGGATGGAGACATATTGGAGGATGTAGGTTTGGCTTGCGTGTTGGAAAAATTTCTGTCATTTAGCATTGACAGACGTTATAGGTTAGGTTCGAGCATACTGCATACAAATTTGCATCGGTCTATGCTTGGCATTGCTGTTAGGCTGCCAAACGGGCATGTTGTCGTTTACTAGCAACTAATGATATTCGGCCCGTCAATCATGCGAAGAATTCTGCATGATTCTAGTGTTTGGTTCTGGACCCAATATCCAGCTGATGAATAACGAATAAAAAAACGTATTTGCTTGCAACTTTTCGTAGACGAATATTTGCTTGCAACTAGCGCTGATACATTTCATTTTTACGGGATTTGGCAGCAGGTTTTAAATCATATTTCTTACATGTATGTTCTAGCCTAAGCTGGCCATTCCTCAGCAGGCCATCGCTGGTCATTGCCTCGCTCTCATTTGTTCGGCTGATGGTTTCTACGACTGATAAGCCGGCTGAACGGCTGAAGCTGATTTGTTGCGAGAAAAAACATTATTCTATACTAATAAGTCAGGCTGTTAAGTTCAAGCGAACAGTTATCTCTTGATCACGCAGGTTTCAGATTGAGAGATTAGTGGCAAGCTGTCTGTCTCCGCTTTGGATCACCAATCGTGTTTCTGTTCCAGTTTTGCCGTGCAGAAAATTCAGTATCAGTCGTTTTCATCCATCCATGTTACGAATTATTACGAAGATACATATTCATGTAGTTGTCTACTCCTTTTTCATTTGACGAGATCGCCGGAACGGAACCCGTCGTGGTCGTCCACGGCGCTTGTCAGGATGCAATTGGTGCCTCGTTGGGCTGCAGAGTGCAAGGTTGGATAGCAGCGTACGCGTACATGATGCTGCTGAAACAGCGGCTTCTAACCAAGCAGCAGCTGGGGTGAGCCAGTCGATGTATCGAAGTGGCACGATACCTGTACGTTTATATACCCAAAAGAAGAAGAAAAAAACGTACGTGTTCCGGGCTCTGTTTTCTCGAGTTGCTGTATGGATGCGCCATCCAAGTAGGGCCCATCAGAGGAGAGGACTAGTATAGGACTACTCTAGTACTAGTATTATGCTAGTAGTTAGCCTAGGATCGAATGAAATCGTGGTCTCGTGGGTGGGACACCACACCTCGACACGGCGAGGCGGAGGCGGAGGCGAGGTGAAGGTGAAGGTGAAGGTGATGCGGCGCGACGCGATCATGCGACCGACGGCGGGCGTTTGAGCTGTTCGCCACCTACCCTCCCTCCATTCTCTGGAAGACTTCCTCCGCCTCACGCATCTCCTCCACCACCACACCCCTCCTCCAATCCAATTCACAAAACACACCGGCAATCAATTACCAAGACCCGCGGCCCCCTCCTCGGAGCGAGACAGACAAGGAACGGCTCGCCTCTCCGTCTCTCTCCCGTTCTCCTTCCTCGCCCGAAGATCCGATCCATATTTGAGGACTCGCCGGGAAGAACCACGGATATATAGACAGATAGATAGATAAATAAAGGATCCTCCCGACCGGAGGTGCAAGAGGTGCGTACGATGCCATCCCCCTCCTCTCCGTTCCCCCATGTTTTTTTTCCTCTTCCGGATCGCTCGCTGGTTTACTTCTGTCTGTTCGTCCATTCATTCATTCATCATTCGTCGATACGATACACGCCCGTTTGTTTATTTTGTTTGGTTGAATTAATTGATCGTTGAGAACCAGGATTATGTTCCTCCTCTCGGGGAATCTGGATTCTGTTGATGGGAGGCATGTGTTCGAGTTGTTGTCAGCCTAGAAATTCCGGAACACCTTGGTCGCCTCGTTCCACCTCCTTAACCCTATCTCGGATTGGACATGGCCTGTGGCGCTTGTTTTGATGATCGACGCGCACAAGCTCCGCTCGTTTCATATACAGACAAATATTTATGAGAAGGTGCATGTGCATTTTTGTGCGTCATGCTACTGGAGCGTGCGTATGGCTTTGGGCATTATCTGGGTGCATCTGCATATTGCAGAGCAAGTGGTGTATAGAATTAGCAACGGGGAGTTGGTGGCCGAAATGCATGACGTGTGTGTGTTCCGTCCGTAATCCGTATGAACTACTATGAAGTAGGTCAAGTTGGTACTGGTATTAGTTACAGAATAATCTTGGTTAAACCAACTTAAGACAGACAAGGGGGTGCGTGGTCGTCGTTAGTTATGCACTGCAAATCAATAATAGCAGTAGCAAACTTTCTGGATAGACAGGCAACGGGTGTGCAGCTAAAACAAACTGGGTATTCTGCTCACATAAGCGTGCCTCGTCACTGTTTGTTTGCCAAGCTGGTAGTCAAACCAACGAAGGGGATCAGCACGCTGCACTGGCCTGAGGAGCCTTCCCTTGTTCGCCCCTGTGCCAACCTCGCCTCGCTCATCGCGTGCGTGGCGGGGGCGGCGCCTAATTCCGGGCAGACGTCGCCGTCGGTGATGGAGAGATTGGAAAGAAAAATGTCTCCTGTCCTCACCACCCTGCTTTGTCTGCGTTCCTTGTGAACAGCACTCTCTGTTCGTCCGTTGATTCAACGCGTGAATTTCGTGGAAATGGTCCACAATCTGCAAATGGTACTGCTGCGATGGAGTACACTGCACAGGGATCTGGGGCAGATGGAAGTTTCTCTGACACCGTGCACATCGACCGCGGGCTCCACCTCGTGCACGCACGCAGTAGCGGGTCGCAACACCGAAGCTCCACGCATCCACACCCGGATCCCGCCGGTTTCCATGCCGGGCTCCCGTTGACCTGCCTCTTTGGTAGGGTCATACGTGCCTGAATTATCATCCCGAGATCTTCGAGAAATGCTTTGCAGCACCGACTAATCAATGGATCGTAGTACTCCAGTACTGCTAGTATTTATTTCCAAGTTTCCAGAACATATTTCATCTTTTACCATGTCGCCTTGTGCCAGCCGATTTACCTTGGTGACTGAGTGACCGTAGATGTCTTTTTCTTTTTGCTGCCTAATCGGACGTAGAAGTATTATACATCGCCATCTTTCTTCCTAGTTGTATTGGTGTGTGCCACACTGGTGTGCTGGTGACTAATCACCTAATGAAAATAGACATACAGAATGGTCTCAAATTGTCACAAAGACACTCCAGGTGGCTACCTACTTGAACCTGCTTTCTTCCAATTGTATCCTTGCCACTAAGCACCAAATCAATGATTTGGCCCAGGTCACTGCTTTTTGTTGGACGGTAGTACGTAGCACTCACACATGTGTTCACACTTCAGGCCACCAAATGCAAGTTCATGGCCGATGGATTCTTGCAGCAATGCACTAACAATCTCGCTGTGGGAATGGGATGCACACGACTAAACACCGGTTCAAATCAAATGTTTTCTTTTTGATCCACACTGACGCAAGTGCAGATCATGCCACGTGAACACAGTACTTTTTCCATTCCCTTGCCTCGGGATTTGCTGCCGGTCCGTCTGACGCGGCAATGTCAACGCTATGGAGCGAGCTCATCACGTGCGGGCGGGCGTGTGTATCCAGTATCCTGATTCCTAACGAGAAAAGAAACATCGAGATTCACAGCCTGCACGTATAGGGATTCGCCCACAGCAATCGTTGTTCTTGTTCATTCATGGCTTCGTCTGCACCAGCAGGAGGGAAGTCACGGGCCGTCGGCGGGGAGGAGATGTCGGACGGCGCGGGCTCCCGGACGGGGGTCGCTGGCGCGCTGGGCCTCTCGATCACCTCGTCGGTGGCCATCGTCATCTGCAACAAGTACCTCATCAGCACTCTCGGCTTCTTCTTCGGTCAGTATGTGCGCGCGTTTCCGAATTTCAGAACTTAATGATACCCCCCTAAGGCAAAGTTTTTGGCTAAAGTTTCTGATTTTTGTTGCTGCTGACGTTTTGGGGTCGAATGCAGCGACGACGCTGACGAGCTGGCACCTCATGGTGACCTTCTTCACGCTGTACGTTGCCCAGCGGCTGCACTTCTTTGAGCCAAAGCCAATTGACGCGCGAACCGTCATCTCCTTCGGCCTGCTCAATGGCATCTCCATTGGCCTCCTCAATCTCTGCCTCGGATTCAACTCTGTTGGCTTCTACCAGGCAAGCATGCACTGACTACACTACTATTTACTGACCAGTAGTATTATGTTCTTGCCTCTGAATTTACCATTGTTTCTAGTAATGAATTTACCATTGTTTCTCATAACAGATGACCAAGCTGGCCATCATACCCTTCACCATAGTCTTGGAAACCATCTTTCTGAACAAGAAGTTCAGGTCATTTCCAAAATCCTTGCCACATTCTGCCCAGTGTTTAATTTTGAGCTGCTCTTTGTTCCGTGTTGTTGGAAGAAAAAAAATGACTTCTCATACTCGACGAGCCTGAACCTTTCAGTCAGACCATCAAGGCCTCCCTCATGGTCCTGCTCCTGGGAGTCGGCATCGCATCGGTCACGGATCTCCAGCTCAATCTCCTCGGCTCCATCATCGCCGTGCTCACCATCGCTGCGACATGCGTCGGGCAGATTGTATCCTTGTGATTGCTGTTCAGCAGCTCAAGCTAGCTGCCGGATCTTACAGTCTTTCATGCACCCTGCATACACTGCTTCCACATGCTGGCTTGTCATCCTTAACCTTGGTGTTGAACAAAGCTGACCAACCAAATCCAGAGGAGGCTGAAGGTTTCCTCGACGCAGCTGCTGTACCAGTCGTCGCCGTACCAGTCTGCGGTGCTGCTCGTCACTGGGCCGTTCGTGGACAAGCTCCTCACCAAGCGTGACGTGTTCGCGTTCAGCTACACCACCCAAGTCGTAGTAAGTACCTTGGCACAACAGATCTCGGTTTACCGGACCTGATCGATTAGACATCGGCAGCATTATAAGCTGTAACCGTGCTCGAATAATGCTCCGTTGCGTGATGTGCAGGCGTTCATCCTGCTGTCGTGCTCGATCGCGGTGTGCGTCAACTTCAGCACTTTCCTGGTGATCGGCACGACGTCGCCCGTGACGTACCAGGTGCTGGGCCACGTCAAGACGTGCCTGGTGCTCTCCTTCGGCTACATCATCCTCAAGGACCCCTTCAGCGCCCGCAACGTGGTGGGCATCCTCATCGCCATCTTCGGCATGGGCCTCTACTCCTACTACTCCGTCGTCGAAAGCAGGAAGAAGACCGAGGTCGCCAGCTCGCTGCCGGTCGCCGCACAGGTAATTCTTAACTAAGTGCATCACCCACTTCGTCTGAAACTGTGAAATTCCGGAGGCCAGAGGTGACAACGACGACTTGGATATACATTGTTGCAGATGAGCGAGAAGGACTCGGCGCCACTCCTCGGCGCCAAGAGCTCGCCACGGACAGACAACAAGGGCGAGGAGACCTTCGACTACATGCCGAGGACGGCGAAGAGCGCGTTCACCGGCCGGTGAACCTGCTGTAGCTTGTACGAAGTACGTACTTACCTTTCTAGATCTAGAGTGGTGGTAGACGACGAACAACACGGCTAAACGGGAATGTGCTAGTGAAAGATGAAACGGCGGCAAGTGACATTCCAATTATCATTTCCGATTTCTCCTCCGGGGTGATGAATGATGATGGGTTGCTAGAGCCTAGATGACAGAATGTGTTGTTTCTCGAGCTTGAAATAGCAGATTGGATTGGTGACAAGACGTCCTGTAAGGTTTGCGCCAATTTTAAAGGAAGTTGCAAGGTCTCTTTTTTTCCGTTGTCCGAATACTGATGGTATGATTGGGTACCATAGTCGGATTGGCTGGAAGATATCACTTTACCGAGGCTTTACCGTGTTTTTTTTTACTAAAACAAAAATAAATACCGTATCTGTAAAGGTAGAAAAATATAAAACGACAATTGTAGCAGTATTTACCGTTTCCGATTGTACAAGTGTGTAATCGTATTTCTGCCATAAAATATTGAGATAATATACCATTTTCTGTAGAGAAAAAATAGACTCTCTCCCTCTAGCTTCGGGAACCAGGCCTAGGCTAGCAGGCCAGCAACATTATTATCAGCCTCGGCTTTTCTACACACCGTACACCTTGTAAGCCCAGCCTATTAGGCCCAAGTTGCCAAGTGTCACATGGCCACACTCTAGTTGTGTCACCATCCGCTTGCACTCTAGTCAAGCCTAAGTTGTGCGGAGGCTATAGTCAAGAAATGTGTTTATCTATTTTTTCAATAAAATGTGGGTCCCACTTAAAGACCTTAACACGACCTAGCTATATCCAAACAAGTGATGGCGTTAAAGCAATATGCATGTGACTATGTGTCAAGGGCATGGTTAAAGTAATGTCTATGTTTTAATCAATTAATCATTAGTTCATTTGTATGAAATGGAGTAGGTTATATACTTGCATGGCTAGTATCATGTTCTAAGAGTTGACGTGCTTATCGTTCTTGAAGTATCGTTTTGTTGATTCTAATTGTTATCGAAGTACTTTCGATCGTATAATGTCTTATAATGTCGTTCTCGATATTACTAAAATATGGACACCATTCTTGTTTTTTATGATATCGTATCATTTTTGTTTTTGATAGAGAATCGTGAAACTGAGAGTGATGAAGCCTTCTTATGATTGTTTTGGATCGCGCATAGTGTGGATCGCATGACCGGTAACGGGTAACAGTACTAAAAACGATTCGTGCACCAAAAGCGAGCACCCGATAGTGCCACTTCACCCGCTAACCTGCGAGCCGTCGGATCCGGCCAAGACGTGATATGGACCGTCCGATCGAAGGAATAGCGGGTCTCTCACCCGTTAATCAGTCTACACGGACATTCGCGAATCTCGCGCACCCGATCGAGAGCGACTCGGCCTTTCTGCCGCGCGTTTTTTTCCTCCCGCCCTCGCGCGCGCCATCCGCCCAGCACGCTCCTCCTCATCCTCCCGGCGGCGGGAACCCATGGCCCTAGCGGCGTGGGGGGGGCGGCGCCAGCGCGTTCGACCATCCGGCGCAAGTTGGGGCCCCAATGGCGGCGGTGACCCGCCGCCAGCGAAGAGAGGCGCGGCAGAATGGTCCCAGCCATCCGCCATGGGCGGCGGCGGCCCTGCGATCGGCGGCGGCCGCAGCCTTAGAGCAGCAGCGCCATGGCACGGCGTTCCCAGCCATCCGGCAAGGCTTAGGGACCACCGCCCTACCTCCCGGATGTCAAGACGGGCTCGCACTTACACGCCTTTGGCACCACGGCTCCACGAGCACCAGCTCGTTTCCTCCTTCGAGCTCCGTCGTCTCGCCTTCTACATCTCGATGCCAGTGCAAACGAGCAGCGACTGACTTGCAAATCGATGACAACGACGACAATCACCTCCACCTGCCACTGCCCACTCTGCCGAACTGACCCCTTTACCACCAGGTAACCATTACATTTCTCTACTTGGGTGGCGTTTGGATACTCATGTGGTATGGGATAGGGATATGGAGGTGGATAGCATGAGGTGGGTTAGGGAAAGGGATGCTTATAGTTTTTGAGATTTTTCGATGTCATTATAAAGATCGTAATCACCTGAAAAAATTGCATGTGGTTCTTGATTGCCACTACTCCAACTTTTGGGTCCTCCATATGCCACTTTCGAGTTCAGGCTCTTTCAATGTTGAAGTGTGAAAAACGAAAATGCCCTTAGATTCACCATTATTAATTTTTTGAGCATACATTTTCAATTTAAAACTCAAAAAGATAGTTGATGATTTTTCTAAGATCTATAATTTTCATATCAAATCATTTTTCATTTAATTAAAAAAAAATGGTGATTTTTATATGAAAATTATCAGATGAGATCTACATTTTTTAGGGAGTTTTTTCATTTGAAGTCGTTTTAAGATGCTTAAAAAATTAATAACATATTTGAAAAACATTTTTTCTTTTTTCACACCATGTGGAAAGAGGAATCGATTTGAAGTGGCTTAAATTGAAAAAGTCGGAGTTAAAGAGCCCCCAATTTTTTTCCAAAGACACACAAAGAATTACGATATTTTATAATGGCACAGAGAAAAGTCTCGTAGTTTTTCCCTAACCCATGTTTGGATTATTTGCCTTGGGATAGGAATACTTTGTGGGGCCCATGCAGTGAAAAAACAAAAACAGGAACTTCCCTATCCTCTCCACCAGCACTTATGCCGCACCAGCACTATCTCCGCTCCAGTAAACGCGAGCGTGTGCGGCTCCTCGTTTCTCCGCCTGATTCAACATCTGGTCCAGGTCCAGCAATACTACTGCCCATGTAGCAGCGGCTCCGGCGTCCAGCGCACTCGGCGATGAGCGGAGGGTCCTGGCTCCTGCGCCCTGCGCACGCGAGTGAAGCGGCGAGCGAGCGGCGGCTCCGACGCACGCGAGTGAAACGCCCTGCGCAGTTCTGCTCGGTGCTGGCCTACGGACTCGACGCGAGCGGCGGCTCCGGCGACCCACGAGCGGCGGCTTCCGCATTCTTCTTCCTCGTGAGATCGCTGCGCTCAGTTCCAGGCATCCAGCTTCGTCAGATCCAATCATGAAGGCACACAGTACTAGCAGCTCCACGAGACGGCGCCGGTGTCTCGCGCCCTTGGCGAGGCAGCTACGGCCGGCGGAGCAGATGGAGGCGGTGCAACGCGAAGCGACGGTTCTCTGCTCCACCTCGCCTTCAAGCTCCCTCCCTAGCTTGAGCCCGCGCGTGCCGCACCGCTCCCAACGACAAGGAAGACGACCCAGGTGCCGTATCCCGTTCGTAACCCACCCCTCCCAGCGGGATAGTTTTGGTGGGATATGAGGCTCTAGTTTCTCAGACCCAAACCCACTGTATTTCCCAATCCGTAAAACCAAACATGGGTTATGGGGTTATTGGGTTATGATATCCCTTTCTCACCCTCCTTATCCCACAAACCAAACACCACCTTGCTAGTTGCTGCTACAGGTTGCGAGAGATTTGGAATAGAATTTCATTAATGAATACTTTTGGTCTTAGGAGTTTATTGGATCAATCCCCATTCAGTTTTCAACCACATGTTTGTGCGTTCTCCTTCGATCTGTGCTTTTCCAACTTCCTCTATCGGAACATGCAGGCAAGGCACTCGATTAAATGCCCCTCCTGGATACAACAGCAGATTTAAGGTACAAAGTGTCTTATTCCATCCTCCAGTTATTTAAATGTTCTATAAATTTCATTGTTGCGTGTTTTTTAGTATATTCTTCTGCTAGAATAACATTTATTTCAAATAAAATAGAGTATGCATCATTCATATCAGGGACGTCCTCATATCAGAGCCATGGGAAGATAATTCGGCTGGACCTATTGCTGCTGCGGTTGATTTGTAGGGCTGATTTTGTTGTGAGAGAAAAACACTGATCCATGGCTGAAAAAGTAGGGCTGATTCTGGCTTATAAGCTCAAGCGAACTGAGCCTAACTACTCATAAGTCTACAAATAGAGATTCCCATGGTGATTTTTTTAGCGGAGAAATATTAAAAGCTCCCCTCAATTTTTCTTACTTTTTTGTATGTCTGAAGGGCGGGCCTGGTGCAAGCGGTAGAGTCTTACCGCCTATGACCGGAAGGTCCCGGGTTCGAGTCGCGGTCTCCTCGCATTGCACAGGCGAGGGTAAGGCTTGCCACTGACACCCTTCCCCAGACCCTGCACAGAGCGGGAGCTCTCTGCACCGGGTACACCCTTTTTTTGTACTCTATGTCTCTATAAACTGGCGCCGTGGCCCGCTGCATCCTCGACAATTTGCCACCTGATGCAGAGTCCAGGCTCAGGTCATGCGGCCTCCTTGCGGGAGAGTCTTGGTGGGTGGCGAGACAGACGAGTAGTGATGCAAGCCATGATCTGCAGACTTGTGATTTGTCCTCCGGGCGGGAGAGCCATGATGCCACCATGCGTGTATAGGTAATGTGTTTGAGAAAATTCTCTTGAGTCTTTATGTTTGAATTCAGCCATATGCATCATTTGCAGCCAGTTGGATCTTGGAATAGAATGACACTCATCTTATGATTTACGGATGGTAGAATAGTTGATTCAATACTTAAAATGGATCTTAGTCATAAATTACTTAGTAGCAAATAGAAAAGTAGTATATATATATATATAGAGCGGGCTGTACAGGACACCAGAATTTGCTGATTATCTACAGACAGCGTGCCTAGAGTTTGGATTTCAATTCTTGCTGACGGCAATCTTACAAACTGGGCAAGTGTTCTTCTGAGGGAGACACTGCTTGATGCAGTACACATGGTAGCTATGGCCACAGTATGGCCTTCCCATCTCTTCATTTGCTTCAAATATTTCCTACAAAAATAATATTATTCCTTCACTACCAGGTAAAGCAAAGATCCTAAGTACCCCTTGGTTTCAGTAATGACAATAGAGCTGAAATTGTGTGAAATATAGCTGTGATCACATTTTTACCAGCATGATAGACAGCTATACTGCAGAAAATAATGT